GCTGTCGTGTATTATGTTATTTGAAGAAACGACGTGGAAGGTCCAATATGCAATGTCGTATGAGTCTTCTTGTTTGTAGAATGCTGTCCAGCAGGTTAGTTGCTCAAATGTTCAAATGTATCTTCAGTCTGCCGAGGTATTTCGTGCTAAATCATTCTTTTCTTTTACTGTTTTAATGCCAAGATCGCGACGTGTACGCCAAGGTGCATTCGCGGTTGCTTCAAGGAATTTGGATTGGAATCTTTGCAATATTTCTATGTTCGATTTGCATCCTAGTAACCAGCATATTTTCTTGGCCGTAAGTTGCAGTTGTTTGAATTTGGTTTGCATGTGTTTTGTTCCGGGCGAGACGTCTGTCGGGCACTTACAGAGGAAACGTGAATCTACGCAAAGGCTCGCGCGCGTCTCTGCAAATTTCCGTTTTGAAATCGGACCCTGTGGGCAACTCTTCAAACGTCAGACCCTATTTTGCTTTTGCTCTTTCGTTGATCCGCCGCACGCACGATGTTCGAATTAACGCTGTCACCGCGGGTAAGAGCGGGCGAATAGTCGAAGGCGGAGATACAGAATTCTTCGCAAATGAAATTGCGTGGCCATGCGTTCAGCCGTGCCGCGACACGAGTCAGTCTATCCGAGAGATAATCACGGCACAAAGGGATTCTATTATAACATAATGAAAAAGATTAAAGGGTCTCGTGTTTCAGACTCTTCATCTTGTCTTGTAAATGCGTTCCCAACAAACGAGGAAAAACAAACGCGACGGTCCAACCTCGCTGCGACCATGTATTTTCGGAACAATATTTTGTATTTCGCGCTAACGGGACACGTTTTCTTATAGTTGGATGATTGAATAATTAACTCTTGGATCTCAGAATTCACGGAACGCGATTCAAGATTAGACGATAAATTCTGCCCACGTAATTGGATTCTGCGTTTAGCGAACCGCTCGGCGGGACACTATTTTTCGTTTGATTAATGAAATTCTATTAACATGCTGTCGTACGTACAAACATAATGGCCCTTTAATAGCTTGACTCTCGACCAGTAATATCGTTTACGTAGACCCTACATCAGTATTTCTTAAGGGGGTATTCTTAAAATATAAAAATTTATTGATTCTCTTATGATAGTATTATACATAATTTTATTTGTTTCGTCTATTATCAAAATTTTTGTAATTTTTATTGAAAATAGTAACTAGTATTCTTTAGAAATTTCTGAAAGTAAGTACTAAATTTTTGAAAACATTACTTGAACAATATTCGATAGTTTACTTAAAAAATTTAGCAGTGCATTCTTAAATACATGTACTTTTGACAAAACGAAAAGAAAAGAGAATCAAGTTTTTGAAAATGTCGCAGAGTAATGGCCTCTTAAACTATACAAGTTTATTGACTCCCCTATGATACTATTATATAATTTTATTTATTTCTATCTTTTGATCCTGTCCTTTGGAAATTTCTAAAATTAAATACTAAATTTTTGAAAACATTACTTGAACAATATTCGATAGTTTACTTAAAAATGTTAACGGTGAATTCTTAAATACATGTACTTTCAATAAAATGAAAAGAAAGGAGAATCGAATTTTTGAAAATGTCGCAGAGTAATGACCTCTTAAAATATAAAAGTTTATTGGCTCCCCTATTATACATTTTCAGCCTCTTTCGATGACCTGACAAAAAGTGTTTCCTATTGAAGTCAATCAGTATTTAACCGACAAAAAATTTCAGTTGCTTAAATTTAAAAATAAATTTATTTTCAATAAAAAATTCACTGTTATATTTTTAAATGGAACTAGGTATTTTTAACTTCATAGTATTGTATGTGACATTGAAAGAAAAATTGCCATGAATCGATTGCCACAATATTTGAAATTACATATTCGTCGATACATAACACTAAGCCTTCAGAACTTAACACGCAAAATAGAGGGACTACAAAATTTATATAAAATGTGTAGAAATGTTCAAAGAAGTTCTCTAATTGAAGCTACACATAAAACTTTAATACAAAACATAGAACTGAGCGTTGCAGAAGGTGGAATGCAGTTCGAACATATAATTTAATTACTAATTACTTGGTTTTGTATAAACTTTTCTTTTATTTTGTGTATTAACTCCCGAAATTAAATAAATGTTATGCTATTAATAAAGCATTCGTAATGTTTACGTTCATTTGTTTACGTCTGTTGTACATACGAGAGCTTAGTGTTCCATCGCCGAATTATTTTAAATATTGTGGCAATCGATTCATGGCAATTTTTCCTTCAGTGTCATCTGAACGTCATCGTGTAGTAGGTTGTTGAATTTGTCTCGACGTTAAAAATACCTAGTTCCATTTAAAAATATGACAGTAACCTTGATTTCTTTATCGAAAATCAATTTGTTTTTAAATTTAAGGAATCATAATTTCTTGTCAGTTAAATACTGATTAACTTCGATAGGAAACATTTCTTTGACTATCGAAAGGAGCTGAAAAATCCTGGAGACTAGTTCGTGCCTCATCCTGTACATAATTTTATTTGTTTTCATCCCCTGTCATTCTCTTCGTCAATTCTAACAATTGTAATTTTTGCTCGAAATAATAGCTAGTGTTCTAGAAATTTCGTCCACTGTATTAGCCAGACTATGGCTCGGTGAATCGATGTCTCGTGGAAGTATCGAAACGTCGCGACGATTCATTCGATCATTTACGGATGTCTCGAAAATACCTCGAGATTGCCCTACCAAAAATGTCGTAAGACATATCGTGCAAGATCTATAAATACCATCGAGCTATCTATGGAATTCGAACGATTTCTCGCAAGACCTATGTATAGGACACGCGGGGAGGAAATATGGAAATATTTCACGAACCGAGTAGAATAACCAGGGACCTGTGTGTGTGTGTGTGTTCGGTTTCCTTTAGTGGCTGACGACCCTTTGGCTCGACCGTTGGCGGAGAGTGCAGTTTCCAAGGATGCAAATAGAGGATGCAGTCTCTTCTGCCCTCGCGACCGGCAAAAATACATCGGCGTGCACGTGCACCACTTCCAGATACCGTAAATCGATTCCCACGACCACCGAAACTTAACCAACGCTCTTCATTCGTTGTTGCATCCCATATGGCCGGACGCATTCTTATACATTCACCTTCTATACAGACGTTCGCTCGAAGAATCACCTTCTCCCACTGTTTCACCACAACAGGAGCGAACCACAGCCGCTTAAAAATATCTAGCAATATATTAGATTGTCGGCCAGGATTTTATCTGCTTCGGCAAGCAAAAACCAGATAAAGAACAGCTGCTGTCGGGGTGTCGTCAGGAAATTAGATAAAAAGATAGGAAGCACTTTTATTTTCCCGTCTGAGTATCACTTGCCACCGGTGGCTCTTGGTGTCACGCAACGAGACTCTGACCTTCTTTATTCCGTTCTTTATCGTCATCAGACATCGATAGAAATACAGTAGAGCGTTGATGAACGGATGTATTTATATTACAAGGAAAACCTATTGTTAAAAGTACTCTGACAACTTTTTAGGTTACCTACGCTGTCGCCCATCTTGAAAAATGCAAACTAAACTTTTAAACAATGTGAAATGTTCTCCAAACTGAATTCTAGTAACATTATATTTCTTATGCTTGATAAATTCCATTTCTTTTAATATTGCTGCACAATAAATACGAACGTATTTATAATACATGTTCTTTTTTTTTCTAAATTATACTAAACTTATTTGTCAGATGAAATATGTTTCCATTATGTGGTGTACGATTTTGGCTCTGACTCGTAGTGTATCTTGCATTCTTGAGCTTGTAAATAGATGCTAACATACCGTGCGCGTTACTAGCCGCATTAAAGGATTAAACCATAAATTCCCGTTCGCGTACTTATATCAGACACACGTTTATTACTTTGTAGACAACGGGGAATTACCATTTTTTTTCGCACGCGATGGGAATCAGTAACACGGTACGTGCATAACCAGTAGCGGATCTGGAAACTTGGCAAGATCTCGAAACTCTAAATTTATGTATACTTACTAATTCCTTATGTTTCTAAAACCTATCGAATAAAAGTGTGTCATTATCAGAACTAATTAAAAATATCATCAGTTTCATTCTATCTCTGAACATTAAACACCCTGTGTACTCCAATTTGGTCATTTATTCAAAGGCCGCCCTGTGTGTTCGTGTTTGTACACCAGGAGTTTTTATTACGCACGTGTAAGAGTAGACATAAGATATAAACACAGATAAAACAAGAATTAAATACATAACTGTGTAAGAGATAAGGTCTAGCTAACTTGCTATTATTAAAATTCCAAATATTCAACAATGACGAATACAATGAGGGGTTCTATGAAAGCTTGAACACTCACCATTAACCAAACAAATTTATCATCTGAATTTTAATCGTTTTAAGCGATTTCCTCAATAAGATTTTTTTATTTAAAACTTACAAAGATAGAGATATTATTTCTCGAATCCTCGAAATCTCCAATTCTATTTCACGATTTTTTCTTAACGATTAAAAGATTAGGTTCCCAGACATTTTTCGACAGTGAATTGAACATTTATTAGGAATATAAATTTAACTTGTACAGCTATATTATAGTCCTCTAATTACTTTGGGCAGTGCAATATCTATATGATAATTTTAATTACAAGCGAAACTTTTACACTGCGCGAAGAAGCGTGAGAATACTTATGCAATTTATTGCCCGACTTTCTGACAAATTGCATCTTCAATAATTGAATGCTCTCGCATCGGCGAGCTTCGACTTTCCAAAAAAAGCGAAAAAAAGAAAACGCGAACGCTACGAAGAAACTTTACAGAGAGACAGACTACGGCTTATCAGCAGGTAGTAAAATTCAGCATGTAATTAACAGCGCAATGCAAGGCAAATTATTCCAGAGGATACAAAAAACGATGAACAAAAATCGACCGTTGATAAATTACTGGTTCCCCTTCGTTCTCGTAACGGAAAATTGCGAATCACAGTAGGTGACTCACCGCACATATAGGTAGGAAAACACCGATGACGTAGAGCATCGTGCTGGTGACCGTTGATGTGTGAAACGGGTGATATAATGACTCGTCATTACAGAAGAATCCACGTTTGTACGGCTTGCCAAAGAAGAAGAACATCAGCACCGCGGTGCCCACTGAAACGATAAAAAAGAAAATCAAAATTTTCATCGGCGCGTGCGCTCGTTTAATAGAACTCGCGCGTTCACGTAGGTGTACGGACAGCAAAGATTTATGGATGTCCCTGAACGTGATATATTTTCCATGATACACGATATACACGTCGCACTACGAGATAGCAACTTCTATAGCTAGACAAATTCATCGTTTGCACATACACTCCATTACAAAACCATAAGGCGTCTAGTGAAATCGTTGAAAAGTCGGTTCCAAAGGATTTTCCTTTCATTCGTGAATTATGTTGTTTTATATATTTTTGTCCACGTTCAACTTTTTCAAATTAGGATCAAACCAATACACAAAATAATAAAATAATAGAAAACACGGTTCCAGGAATGAATTTCCTTCTTATTCGTGGATTATGTTATTTTGTATATTTTTATCTACGTTCAACTTTTTCAAACTAGTATTAACTAATATACAAAATAACAAAATAGTAGAAAACACGGTTCCAGGCACGAATTTGCTTTTTATTCGTGGATTATATTGTTTTATTTTTGTACACGTTCAACTTTTTTGGTTTTTATAGGTGTTATGCAACTTTATAATACAAGCTTGATTTAATTAATTATTGAAGATGCGAAGATAATTCGTATTTTTACAGTAATGTGCAAGTGTCCATACTTATGCCCGGTATTATCTCGTTAATTGTCGCGTAATAAAATTATCCCGAACATTTCTCGAAACTGGCGTCCGCTACAATCTACCACTTTTGCTTAGTATGAATTTATTTATACAACAAAATCTCACATTATAAATAATAGTTCTTGAAAACAAGAATTGCCGGTTTCATTTTTGATAAAAAAAAACAAATAAACGCAACAATTCTTCCGCAAGCAGATATTTTTTTTCATAGATACCAATTTCAAACCGTAAATCTGGGCAAAAGAAAATTTGACAAAAACAACAGGAACGGGCGTTCTAATTCAATACTGTCCCGAAAAGGAAATACAAGACAATCAGAAAACGTAAAAAGCCATCTCTGGCAAATGTATACAGAAAAGTAAAAAATCTGTTACGATGGGTAATCTGCATAATGTCAGTTTGTTTTCTGGTTCGCTAGTTCTAACTCGCTAACGTGCAATCACCGTCGTCGCGTTTCACTTTTTGCCGCGACGGTTTTGCCGCGGGCGGATTCGGAACGCACGATAATTTGAAAATTGAACGGCTCTCTATTATCGGTGACGTAGTCTTTATCGAAACGAGTTTCCATGATTTCCGATAACGATTAACCGCCACCGTCGAATCGCGGATATCGTACGCGGAGACTATGCAGAAAAATGATTAACAACGCGAGAAAATTATGGCGCGGTCGTGAAACGCTTACGTGTTCCTAGCATTTACTTATGAAAATCTTTACGTGCCGTTCGTTCGCTACCTGGAAGTCGATCGAGCGAGTCAGCTATTAAGATAATTGTGACTCCGCTTTGAGTGAAACGAGGCAATACGTCGAACAGCTTGTAACAATTTGTGAGATCGCACACGCTCGTTATTTATGCAGCCGATACTACGTCAGACCTCGCCTTGCATATATTTTACAAACTGATTGAAGGTTCACGATAAGTTAAGAGGTAATTGTGCCTCGGATTTATGGTCGTTCGTACCGGGCACCGGTAATATTTAGAAACACGCGGTTGGTTCTTCGCGAGATTATTTCCATGAATTTCGCTAGCTTCGCGATAACGTCGTTTCGTCGAAAAGAACAACCAGGGATAAATGTTCGTTGGTAAGAGCTACTTTGTACATTTTGGTGTTCGCGCGCTGAGATCTCTACGCTTAAACCGTGCAATTATATTGCAATTAATTGACACCAGGCTAAAGATACATGCATATATGTATAGATGAAACGAGCAACGATGATAATTAGCCCATGTTATCGGGTGTTTGCTGCCATTTGCGTAATTGGGTTGCATGTTTATCTAACCGCTATGTAACATCCATTCCGGATGAAGTCAGTGTCTGTGTATAACTTAGAATTTTAATTAATGGTAACGCTACCACGAAGCAAAATCTTTACGTGCTTCTACCGGTTTTCTATTCGCCCGACTTAATTAAATCTTGTACCATTAATCCTTTCGAGACGGATTTTTTCTTAAAGAAAATATAAGAGATACGTTTCCAATACTTCAAATATATTACTTCATAAAATATAACAAACGATTTTGTTTTTTTTTTTCTTTATGTAAGTCATTGTGTTAAGAGTAATGAGTTTTTACGAACAGGCACATGTCAGCAAATCTTGTGACAGCCATGAGCGATGAGGTAACTTCCAACATGGACTCACCTTCGCGTGTTTGAAAAAAATTTTTAAAAAAACTATAATTCACATTTTTATCATTTTTCTGTCATTATTTCGAAGATAAATGGATTCTTACACAATAGCATGCTAGTTGTTTAAATAGCAGAAACAGTATAATTATGTTTGATATCCTCATCGTGGTTAAATCAGCACCCTTAAAACGACAAAGTAATAAATAATACCTACTTATTGTGTCTCTATGCACTTATTCAAGGCGGAAGTTTCTTGAAATTTTCCATTGCATTTAGACTAAAATAGGTAAGGAAAAGAAAATATTAAAAGCGCAATAAAGCCAAACGTAATGCCAAAGACTATATGAAAACTAATGATATGTATTAGACATTATCTAGAATAAAGAGAATACATATATATTTGATTGATTGTAGTCAATTTTACTTTATGATTCATATTGCATTTGCAAATTAAATTTCCCTTGTCTTATTTCGTTTGAATAATCGCCAATTTAAGCAGACTTGTTTCTCGATTAATTCGACCATTCGACTGTGCATATTTGAAAATTTAGAAACAGTTGTAGGGAAGGAATAATTGAGTTGGAAGAGGACGATAAGAAAGAGCGTGGTAGAAAAAGAGTACGTTTTACCGCCGAATTCTGTCTGTTTACTTTTATTTACTCTAACAAGGATTCGCGCGCACTCTTGCTCTCGTTGAGAGTCCGCACTATTTGCATTCTACGGGTTGTACATATGTATATCGCCACCTATATCATAACATCATAAAAAAAAAAATTCGTCTACACTGTATTCTACGTAAAATAATCGCACAAGAGAAAATATAGATACGTTGACAGTATAGTATAATAGTAATGGTACGTATACAATTATTAATTGCACGTGTGCGCGTGAAATCGAGATATTTAGTATCAATACACGCATATTACATACTTCGATAGTCGCTTGAAAAATAATAGAAAATAAAATTACTAAATTGTTCGATATTTCCTGTGACACTTTACTGTTGTAAAAAAATTCTGCTGCGTCGGTCAATAACGTTATACGAGTCGATGTATCAACATGTACCTCGTGTTTCTCGCGCTCAATAAATATAAGCGATACGCGTAAGAAAACAATTTACTGTAACAGTATCCTCGTCGGTGAAGTTTCTCGTGTAATCACCGCCTTCGAATGCGCTTACTGTACGCATGTTATGCAAGGACTGATAATGAATGCAATACATGCTATACTCTTCGTGATTACTAACGCGACGAAAGATCGTGTACAGTCTAAGCAAAATGGATTTAGATCCGCCTTGACATCTATTTAAATCCATACGTGTTCTTTGCTTTCGTCATCGCCGCGAATTTCTGAATACTCGATGACCAACCGAACAAACTATTTAATAGCACTATTATACGAAGTACCACGCCACACACAGCACCCATCATCGTCATACTCGTTTTTAACAATGTTGGCATCGCTGTCGTCATACCACGCCATTTCCATCGTAAAAGTTATTTTCGTCGTTTAAAAAGATAAATATATTCAAATTCTACATTTTTTTTTTAAGATACACCTTTACCGGTTTCATTCTTTTGGTAGAGATTTCGATTTCATATATTTCATATATGTATGTAGTGGGTCCTTGTAAATTTTAATACACGCGTACCTGTGGATTTTAGTAAACGATTAAATTATAGTTTGTCTCGTGTGACTACTTTACGTAGAATAATGTTTCTGAATTTTTAAATAGGTACAGTCAAGGGCAGAGTATCGATTAGTCGAATCGATTGAAGTTTCTGCATGGAGAAGTGCCAGACTTCTAGCTGATAAAAGCACGATTGAAGCGTTATATATCTGCATATTTCGTATGCTCGGTATACTTCTTAATTTAAAAAAAAAACACTGGTTGCATTCGTACATAAAATGTCTTGGAACGTACGAACCTACTTGTGCGAGCAACAGTCGCAAAAATATAAGCGAATTAATTTACGACTCGACTATTATTTGTTATCAGTACCGGGTAAACGTGTAGGAAATCTACATACTGTTGTTATTACGCTGCTCGGTTTTCCAGATTGTCTTTCATAGTTTCCGAGCACGCACATCGAACGTCAATTTATTATTATAACTTCTATATACCGAGTGCTCTATTTAATCCCTCTAGACGTTATTACAACTTCTCTACTGCAGAATGAACAAACTTGAACTTGAATTAAATAAAAAATTCTCGCTAATTGCTCCGAAAAGAATGCGAAGACCCCTCTCTTACGATTTTCAAAAATTATAGCCACAACAGAGACATATCGTGATCTCCGAATATTTTTGTTGTCCATCAGGAAAATGTAAGACTGTTCAAAAATGTACACTAATCATAGTTTATACGATATTACGTATCAGAACAGTTAATGAAATTACAGGTGTACGCTATGCGTCGCTAATAACCTAACTGTAGACGCGACGTTAAGTTAATCGTATAAAAAAAGAAGAATTTTTCTTTCATTTTTGCAGAATTATAAATACATTTGTCTTCGCACGACTCATCAAAATATTGAAACCAAAAGGTACTGGAAGATTAGAGCTTTCTATTTATACAGAGTTAGTCACACAAAGTGTTAGAAACCATTTTCTCAGAAACTATTAAGCGCAACAGAAGAATCTTTTCTTTCGCGTTTTATGGGCCAACTTTATACCATATATGGCA